CTATTATGACTGCGAGAAGATCCAATGCAAGTGTGTGCCTGGACGATTCATTTGTGGAGAAGACGGTAGCCTTGGTGAGTCTTCCTACCACGCCTGTCAAGCATATTGTCTAAATCGCGTGCGCAGATATCACGGACTTCCTGAAGGAAGACATCAAGGGTCCTGCGTCGTTCAGCTGCACCAGTGGCAAGGGCTGCAGATTCGAGGAGCCGGGCATGAATGACTTGATTTCGACCTTCTTCGGCGACAGCTATATCACCCTCCAGTGCGAAGGTGGTGAATGTCTGCATTATTCTCAAGTCCCTGGCTATGAGGTGAGTCAGCCGTCCTCACTCGAAGAGACGATATCCTGACGGTGCTGCAGCCGCCACCCAAACCAGATAACGCAGCCTTCGTAGCGTTGAGCATCGCGGGCGCGGGTCTCATCGTCATCTTGGTTTCTCTCAGTAAGCACACGAATACACGACATCGTACATCTCTGCTAATGGCATCGCACAGTCCTCTGGTGGGCAGGTCGTACCCGTACCAGCGACTTCGGCACCATCCGTCTCCCCGAGAACGAGTCCGCGAAGCTCATGACCGACCACGTCCCCGCCTCCCTCCACTTCTCGAACATCTCGTACACCCTCGGCGGGCACACGATCCTCGACAACATCTCCGGCTGCGCAAAGCCCGGGCAGCTGCTCGCAATCATGGGCGCCTCGGGCGCGGGCAAGTCGACGTTCCTCGACATTCTCGCGCGGAAGAACAAGAAGGGCACGGTGAGCGGGACGACGCTTGTGAACGGGCGCGAGATCGCGGACGCGGACTTCAAGAAGGTCATGGGCTTCGTCGACCAGGAGGACACGTTAATGAGCACGCTCACCGTGTACGAAACGGTGCTGTACTCTGCGCTGCTGAGGCTGCCGCGGGAGATGAGCCTCGAGGCGAAGAAGTACAGGACGCTCGAGACTATGAACGAATTGGGCATCTTGGGCATCAAGGACTCGCGCATTGGCGAAACCGGTAGGTTGTATATCGTAGTGTGATACTACGGAGACTGACGGGCAGCTTAGGTCAACGCTCCATCTCCGGTGGTGAGAAGCGACGCGTATCCATTGCTTGCGAGTTGGTCACTAGTCCTTCGATCTTGTTCTTGGATGAGCCCACGAGCGGTACGTTTTCCACGATGTTGTTTTGAATACTCATCACTGAAACAATGCAAGGCCTTGACGCGTACAACGCGTTGAGCGTCATCGACAGTCTCGTCTCCCTGGCGCGCGACTACAACCGGACCGTTGTCTTCACCATCCACCAACCGCGCAGCAACATCGTGTCTCTCTTTGATCAGTTGATCGTGCTCGCGCAGGGCAAGCTCATTTACTCTGGGGAAGCCGACAAGGTCACGGACTATCTCGCGCAAGTCGGCCACCCGTGTCCCCTCGGCTTCAACGTCGCAGATTTCCTCAGTACGTCCCCAACGTTGCAATTGACATTATCCCGGCTGACACAGCGCTGCATAGTCGACCTGACAATGCAAGCTGGCATGGAGCCCCGGTCACTGGAGAGCCCTGCCGCCGAGGATGTCCAGCCCGTAGAGTCCGACTCCAACATCCGCGACGAGGAGCGCGCATTCGTCCGCGACCAGCCTTCCATTGCGTCTATCCACTCCTTGGCCACAGTCGACCGTGCAGAAGAGGAAACCGAGCCTACCCGCGCAGGGTCGATCCACTCCTCAACTGCGTACATCCGCCGCCAGACCACTCGCCTACTTGAAGCGATCGCGCCCTCGTCTGGAGTGCACGATGGACCTGTCCCGCCCAAGCTAGCGGAACTCATCGAGGCGTTCAAGAACAGCGACGTCGCGGCTGCGCTTCATGCGGAGATCCTCGAGGTCGCGAACGCTCCTGCTGCTCAAGGTAATGGGAACGGCACGGCAGAGCTTCCGGACGTCGCGGAAGAGAGCAACATCACGCGGGGTAGGAAACGGGCAAGCTGGGGCACGCAGTTCCGCATCCTCAGCGGACGCGCGTTCAAGAACTTGTACCGCGACCCCGCGCTGCTGGCTGCGCACTACATTTCTGCGATTGGCGTCGCTTGTGAGTACCCCGACGAAGCGACTCGCAGATGAACCTGGCGATGCTTATGGCTGCTACCCACAGTGATCTGCGGGTTCTTCTTCCAGAATATCACCAACGATATCGCAGGCTTCCAGAACCGGTTGGGCGTGTTCTTCTTCACGCTCGCGCTCTTCGGTTTCTCGTGCCTGTCCAGCCTGAACCTGTTCGCGAACGAGCGGATTCTGTTCATGCGCGAGCGGTACGTTTACTCCACGACGCTCTTCGGTCGCTTTGCTGATCTTATGATGCAGTGCCAATGGGTACTACTCGTCCTTCACATATTTCGCGTCGAAGGTATGGCCACATACCCCTAACCCCTTCCCTAACTGTTCTCTGACCTGCTTGCATAGATCTTGTTCGACATCCTCCCTCTCCGTGTTGTGCCCCCTCTTGTGTTCGGCGGCATCATCTACGGCTGGATCGGGCTCGTCCCCGAAGTAGCGATATTCTGGAAGTTCATGCTCACCCTCGTCCTCTTCAACCTCACGACCGCGAGCGTCATCCTCCTGCTCTCGATTGCGTTCGCGAGCACAAGCGTCGCGTCGCTCGTCGGCACGCTCATCATGCTTTTCAAGTACGTCCCATGTCAGCCCTGCTCATGACGAGGATGCGATCGCTGACGGTTGTTGCTATAGCTTGCTGTTCACTGGCTTGCTCATCAACCGCAAGTCGGTACCCGCCGCGTTCCAGTGGCTGCACACGATCTCGTTCTTCCACGCCGCGTTCGAGGCGCTCGCTGTCAATGAGCTCCGGTACCTCCAGCTACACGAGGAGAAGTACGGCGTCAACATTGACGTCCCCGCCGCTGCGATCTTGTCGACGTTCGGCCTTCGCGCAGAGGTGAGTGTTGCATTTCGCCTGTGTAGCGATTAGTGCGATATGCTGACGAGATCTGTCTATAGTCGTTCTGGTGGCCTAACATCGCGCTGCTCGGCATCTTTTTCGGCACGTTCACCGTCCTCAGCTACCTCGTCTTGCACTTCTACGTCAAGGAAAAGCGATAGATGTCATCTCGTCTGCTTGAGCTCAGGTGCGGTTGCCGTGCGCTGCAAAGGGTTTGCACGCTACTCGTTACCCTATATACGTTTTACGATACACTTTTTGGAGCACGGACTTTCCGGTCGGGGGTCCCTGTATAGTATACACGTTGTAAAGTATATGTATGCGTTGTGGTTATGGAGCTCCTGTGGCACTCTGTCAGGACCGTTCGTCGCTGCATAGGCAATGACAAGACCTACGAGGGGGATCAGTGTGCTGCCTTGACCTCCTCTTTCTTGGGCCTCGAGCCGAAGATACCCGTCCCAACGCGAACGATATCGCTCCCCGCTGCAAGCGCGGCCTCGAAGTCGCTAGACATCCCCATGCTGAGGAGCAGCCGTCCGTCCTCACCCCACCGGCCCTCCTCAGGCGGGAAACCCGCCTTGGCGAGCGCGGCCTGGAGGACGTCGCGCGTCGCCACGAGGCGCGCAAAGTCCTCGTTCGGCTTCTCCGCGGCCGCGAGCGACTCGGCCAGCGCGCCGATCGTCATGAGGCCCTGCAGGCGCAGGCGCGGACACTCCGCGATGACATGGCGCGCGACCTGGACGAGCTCGGCCTCTGCGACCTCCGGGGCGTCGGCCGGGAGAGGGGCGGGCGGGGAGCCGGTGGTGAGCGGGGGCACGCCGGACTTGGAGTCTTCGCCGGAGGTGTTCACTTGGAGGAGGACGTTGAGCGGTACGGGGCGGTCGGCGGGGAGGGCCTTGTTCAGGGCCGTGGCGGCCTTGATGGAGGTGACGGTTTGGATGGCGTAGAGGTTCGGGATGGCTGTCCTGTGGTCTGTAAGCGGCGTGATTCACGATACGCAGAGGTGAGAGTGCACGCACAGGCGAGGATCTTGGCTTTGTTAGACTGCAGGGTGCCGATGAAGTGCCATCGGATGTCCTGTGGAAGCTGTACGCACATTGATTACGATGAGCGTCGTGCACTCTGCGAGGATCGAAGACATACTCACCTGCGCAGCTTTATCTACGAGCTCCTGGACATAATTTTCGCCAAAGTCTCTCTGCCCTTCATCGTAGCATGCGAGGACGTCCGCGGCGGGTTTGTACTTGGATACTGCGACGAGCACTGGCTTCCCTGCGCGAGACGGGGACTTCGCGCTAGCGGTCTCAACGCGCTGTCGGATCTCTGTGAGAGACTCCTTGAGCTCTGCAGCGCGCTCTGCGGTCGCTCGGACGACGGGGACGGTGGGGACGGCGGCGGACATTCTGCGGTAGAGGACGTGGACGGGGAAGAGAGGCATAAGTACAGATTAGATAGGCGCCGACATACATCATACTGTCTAGTATGACGCCGAACGGTACCGGTTTACATTCGCCCTCTTGTCAATGCCATCCACTTTGCGTCCTTTCTGCATGTCTAACGTTCAGACTCTCACATCCACGTGGAGTAAATGTATACAGCACGGCCAAATTGTTTTGTACGTGGACATTGGGCGCTCTACATATGCGCCAGAGTCTCAGCAGGATACTAATTCACTTCGCATCGTCCTGCACTTTCGTGGTGGTCTCCTTCGGCGGGTTGTCCTTCGTGCGATCAACGGACGATGCCTCCAAGTGACGTTGCCTCTATTCGGAAGGCGTTGGAAAGAAGGAGTCTATCCACCGGTTGTCGTCCCAGGTGAAGTGGTCGGTGTCGCATGTGGCGCCGCAACTGCTTCTCCCATTTGGCACCAAATTGCTCCTTGTAAATCGTCGTGATGTGCCCGACGACCTCGTCCGTCACGTCCGTCCACGTGTTCTTCTCGTCGCTCGCCATCTGGGGCCCTGCTCGTAAGTAGGTGTTAACGCAGAACCGGTCGCTAACCCACTTCCCTCGTATGGCGAACCAACTTGTGGATGTGGTGCAAAAAGGGAGACCGACTACCACCGACGGGGATCGAACCCGCAACCCCCACCTATCACTCTCCTATTCTCCGAAGAGCTCAGAATAGGAAGGTGATGCGCTACCATTGCGCCACGATGGCTTGCTTGCTGTTCATGCTGAGCTTTATACAACCAGTTGTACCACGGACGGGTCTATGTAGCACGGCCATGGCTTTGCTTCTCCAAGTTCTCAACGTCGACGACATCGCGATCCAGGACCGACTTGGATACATCTAGGCATGTTTACTTAATATGCATTTGACTTCACTGCAATCGTTACCATCGACATATAGCGAGACCGACCCGGCCACCGCTAAACGTTGAAGTTCATACTAAACAGAATCTCCATTCCGACTAATCGTCGATACTAGCATGATGGGCCAGGAATACTGCCTGAACGCGGAGGTTCGCGTGTATCAACGACTACGCTATCACACCGGTACTGCGGGCGGCTCCGTTGGGGCAGCACTGAGGGACGTCGCACAGCAAGTGAAGTAAATCTCCATCATGATCTCGTGGATTTGAGTTGACCAGGCCAGATTCCAGAATCACGAGCAAGACCCCTCGCCGGCTTCGTCGCAGTAGTAGACTGTGGGCAGTGATGTTGGGCGCATCAGCCTGGGGGCGAGCGCATCTCGGTGATTGGATGGACTCATCAGCTGCAACATCGGCACCCACATCAACTCCCATGTTTGCGCCCGGAAGCCCGAATTGTTGGGAGACGCGTGCGGTAAGAAAGCGGCACACAGAAGCATCAATGCTGACCGGCGATGCCGGCGGGCGATACACTCAACCGCATCCGTAAAGCTTCTCTACTTCGCTCCCCTACTCGCGCGAAGGTTGACATACCGATGGAGTATATTGACAGGTACGTCTGGTGGCAGCACATCTACTACTTCGTTCGGGTGAGTGACATGCCCGTTACATGGTCCGAATGCTTATATACAACCAGAAACTGATGGGCCTCCTTCGTTCCGTCTGCCAGTGCATAATAAACGCACCCTGCCATACGGTTTTTCAGACTCGGAGTGCACGTACGAGCAAGTGAGCAGATCACGCTAAACCACCTGCCTGATGACGCTCCGTACACGGCAAAATCGTGAATATCTACCGAGTCCTAGTGCCCTAGCCGCAGCGCTCCTCCTTGTGGTCTCGCGAGGTAATAGAGGTTTGCTCGTTGAGCGGAGCTCTCCTGAATGCCACATATGATTTTCATCGATCCAAGCCCATTAGGCAATCGAGTGCTCCGCACCTCCCGAACGCTTACATTCCGAAGGTCACTTTCTACAGGGCACGTCCATACCTTCGAGTGTTTGCATGCGAGCCGTATCCCTCGCGATCTGCTGCGCGTGCTCCGAAAACGGCGCTTTGAACCTCGAGGAACCTCGCAGACAGATCCAGTCCGGATAATCGCCACCGTCCCTGTCCAAGGTGCGTCCTGCCAAGAACTGGAGTTGTGACAATGACCTCCCGAGGGGAAGCCGGACCACGCCGCGCGCCCCTCGTCCCGAGCCTTGCTGCATCGTGCATCATGCTCACGGTTACGATACCGAAGTACGGCGGAACGGTGGTTATCGCATGTCGGTTCACCAGAGCGCGCATGCCTGATAGGCATGCAAGTCGTCGTGGTCAAACCGTTCCATCTCCGGAGCTCCACGAAAGAAAGGGGGGGGGATGCGGGCATCTCTTGTGAAACGGGCCGCCCTAGAGTGAACGAAAGTCAACAGTCAAGGGCGGCGTGCACAGACGACCCGCGGACGCCGTGCCTTGCGTGGTATGGTGGCTAAGGTGTACTGTAAGCGTTTCCCTCGAGTTCACTGTCAGCTTCTGTGGCCGCGCAGCATCGGCATTCTTGGTACAGGGCCCGAACACTCAGAGGTACCCTTCACAAGGAGACATCAGGCGTGATGCCCGACCCATCCCAGATCGCAAGTTGTTCGGGCCTCAAGATGTTCGCGAGCCTCGAGGCCTCGAAGAGCCGCCATCGTGGTCCTGTCAAGATGCCAGGCACGGCGTGCCTACCGCGAGGTCCGTGGACATTTCACACGCCATGTACAAGCATGTCCACCGTGCAGGCCTGACGTGCCTGAGCGCCGTGCCTGCGTGCCTTTCGGACGCACAAGCCCGTATGAATTGCACGGCGTGACGGTATCTCGGGCTTGACAGCAGGCGGGTGCCAACAAATGCCAAGCGTGCTGTATGGAAATACTCACTCTACATCCTCCTGGACGTCCGAAACTCCGAGCAGCCATGTCACGCTGAACATGCACAGCGCTCATATTATGGATGTGCATCATATACGTATGTGTGTTGGCACGCCGGCTCCCGATCGCGAGCGAGGGCTTTGTGGCGTTCCCGTGGTGCCTGATGGACACACATCGATTTGTCACCGAATCCTACTGGCAGCTCCGAGACAGCTCTTCCCGCGCACCCACTGACCTGCCGCATGTCTACCAGCCGGCGCAGGCTACCCCCGGTAGTTCGAGCGCAGAGGCATGCCATTTGGGCTTGCGTTTCGCGCGATGCGCCAGTGATGCGCTCCGGTCCCATCTCATCAGCCTGCCAGCAGCCAACGGCATGCGCTGCGCCAGACTGATCAATGCGTACCTCCGCTCCTTCCGGGAATGTGGCTACTACAATGTGTGAGCGAATAGAAGGGGATGCATGGTGCACCGGTCGTAATTGCAATGGAGTGATACAGGAAGACAGTGTACTTCTCTGAAAATGACGAGCTTCCTCTATCAACGGGCAGACGTGCGATGTGGTCCCGCCGCCTGCGCGCGGGTTGCCAAGATGCATAATCGGTCCTTCCTTTGTGGGAGCGGGACCTCTGGCGAGTAGAACGACTTGCAGGTAGCCCGAATCTCGAATCACTGGCGGAGACATACGGACTCTGTGATCATTGTTAGTTGGTGTCGCCGCAGAAGCATGCAGGCGGCCATCCGATCGTGGTGCTGCCGGGATTCTTGTCGCATGACTGAGACCTTGGGCGACGCTCGTTCGACGTCGGTGAAACATTGCGAAGTCGACTCCAGAGATCTTATGCCCGATCGACATACGCGCCACGCCGCCCAGGGCCCAAAGCGGTATTCCAGCACTTCGTCATCGAATAGCCGCCAGAATTTGGCGACAGACATCACACCGCGCACCGCGCAGAGGACGGCGGCGGCGGCAGCAGCAGCAGCAGGAGGTCCTGGAAGCGATGGCCCACAATCACGCGCGCGCGACCCGCAGCCGCTTCACGACCGAGCTAAGTACGCGCGCGCGTCCGAAGCGTCGCTGTCAGAGGTTGAAACGTCGAAGATCCGGCCATGGTTACGGAACTCTACATACATGGTCGCCGTCCAGGAACGGTAGCGCGGGACCATGTGGGGTCGTCCCCGAGTGTTACGGAGTGAGCGGGGCCGGGAGTTGGCCCTCAGGGCGGAGGCGCGGGGAGTGTAGGCGTGTTCCTGAGGGTGCTTCGCTTGCGACGGTGATTCCGAGGAGGGTCGGAACAGGAGGAGGATGCCATCGGGAGCGCGCGCGGGCGGCAGCGAGGGCATCGGGTCTGGATTAGCCGGATGTACATACATCGCAGCGAGCTTTCCGCGAGCTGCTCAGTGTGCACACTGTGCAGTAATGATGCATCCGTCATACTGCGAGCGTCGAACGTCGAACGTTGAATGTCGAGGGCGGTGTAGGGCTGCGCCACGGAAGAATTCGCTGCGCGTATAACCCGTCGAAGATACTGTGGTAGCCATCTTGAGCTCCCAGGCGGTGGCGGTTGGTGCATGTGCATGTGTATCGCGATAGAGCTGAGAAGCAGTCGGCACCTGCAAGAGACGGCGAGGCAAGCAATGTAGGGAGGGCCCTAGTCGATCGAGGATTGCAGCGCGTTGATTTAGAGCCTCATAGTGGGTGCCCGAGCCATATGTGAGTAGCGAAGTCAAGAGGCTAACACCGACGCCAGGGTCCCACAGTTGTTACTCTCCGCAAATGGCACCAAAGCCCCATATGAAGTCGATCGCCTTCCGCCTGCCGCAGAGAGTGCACGGAGTCGATCGAAGAGACAAGGACGCAGCTCAGGGTGAAGCACAGCCGCGCGCGGTCGTTCTGGTGAACGCTACTACGTACCGGCGGTAGCGCGGCCGTCCGCCACCGTCGAAAGTGACCCACGAAGTAGGAAGAGGACCGGTGCGCAGAGTTAATGTTTGGTAGAACGTCCAGGTAGGGGAACATGCAAAAGCAGGCAGGCGCCGCGCGCCCCTCCGCGGGTCCGCACACGTTTATACGGGGCCGTAGCACTGCAAGGCCGTGCGGCGGGTAGCGTTTAGGACTCGCTTTGACGGCCGCGCGCGCCATCAGGCGATGCACATCTGTACGTACCATGTACCGTGTACGGGTATCTCGCCATCTGCTTCACTATCACACCTAGACAGGGCCGCGCTCGACATTCGTGCACGTTCAAACGGCGTCGCGATCGTGCATATGTGGGGAAGACGTGCGCGCACCTGTGATGGGTCCTCCGAGTCCTTCCGAAGCTAATAGGCAGGGAACACACAGTCGCAGAATCCAGATATCCAGATACTATATGTGCGTGGCGGGCGCGTCACCCGTGTACACCGACGCCAGTACGTCTATAATGACGCACCGCCGGCTTCATTAATGTCGCGGAGCTCGATGACCTCCGTGCTGTGCCCGTCAGCTGGACGTGTCAATACCGTGACATTCTGCAGGTAGGTACTTGCAATGAAATGAGTGATGTGAGCGGTGTAATTCGAGTTGAGTTCACTCCGTCGCGGCCGTCCTAGCTGGCCCGACCCTGCCACGAAGGACCTGCCTGACGTGCGCAGCGCGCGCGCCCGATCACTTGGTGCCACTCGCCTCGCGTGTTGCTGGCTGTGTTGGGCCCCGGCTAGTGCTAGTGATCGAGCGAGGGGCGGGGTTGTGTGTCCGTATGTATGTATGATGAATGATCCCAACGCTCGCGGCTCGTTGGCGGTATATACAGTACGACCTCTCCGCGACCCTGTCGACCACGGCACCGTTTGTCGATTTCGAGAGCGGCGACTCGGTGATAATAGCACTTACAGTACTAATAGTAGTAGTAGTCATGCAT